GAGAGAGAAATTACTCCCTTTGGTGCTATTGAGACAATGCAAAAATAGATGATTAACAGAATCAGGAACACTTTCCATACAGGCATTGACTGCTTCCTCCATAGCTGCCATTTCCTCTTGCAGTAATTTCAATTTCTTTGAAAATACTGTAGTGAAATTCTGTTCTTCTGAAATTATGGGCACTTTAAAGGAGTCAAGACTTCACACAGATTTGTTCCCTTCACTCCCACGTTTTGACACATGTTACTAAGTGAAAAGTCTGGTGTACATCTGTTTTTTGCTCCACTTTGCCAGGATCCAACAGCAGATATCATTAATCCTGTCTTGCACATGCAGTTGAGCAATGTTCCACACTGCTTTGCAACATTTCTGCTTCAACAACCTTGTCTGCATCAGCTAAAGCTGACATGGGAGCCAACAAAAAAACCTCTTTTAAGCAGAAGTTTGTGATTAGCTTTTGTATCCAGTTGCACACAAACACAATAACAGATGGAAGATTAGGAGAGAGTGGAAGGGAATTTATTTTCCATGTCATTATCTCTCCAAGATGGGAAGTACAGAAAAACACCTATTCTATTCTGTGTCTGGCACAATGAGCTTTTGTCTTTGGGCCAGATGTGATCTCGTTTCTGAAGAAAAGTGGAAATCTAATTAGAACGTACTGTGGAGAGACTGACCTCACACTCACCTGAGTTTTCATTAAAGTAGCTATCTGAAGCACTTGATGTGTTGTAGGCTGCAGCTGTCAGCTTCAAGAGCTACTTCTGAAAGCTCTAAAGGAGAAATAATTGCAAGGTAATGACTGCAGCACGGTGCAAGTGCAGCTTGCTGTTCCATTACAAGAATAACCTTTTAATTACCAGCAGTTAAAAGAGGCCTTTTCTATGGACACTGGGGCAAATTTTAGGAATTGTGAAGTTCCATTAATTACAAAGGAATTCCACAATTCCCATTAATTCCAAAGGACCTTTCCACCACTTATCACCACTCAGGATTTCGCTCACTCAGAATAATTAAATTTCTTAAACCATGACTTTCTTCGAAGTTTCAGACATCCAGCCAGATCTTCAGTAGGACACCTGATAAGGTCATCTGCTTTTTTCTTTTTTCTTTTTTAAGAAGGTGCATTTGCTCTTTAAAGTGTTTACTTTAAAGGGTTTACAGGCCTTTATTTACAAAAGCATTATATTTGAGGACATCAATATATCTCATCTGCTGGTTTTGCCCTTCACTATGCAAAATTACTTGAAAGGATGTCACAAAGCATTTGCCAGCTCACCTCCTCTTCCAATTAAATTCATAGCTTTAAGAGTGCAGACCTTTCCCTTGATCTGACAGGCAGCAGAACAAAGCACTTGTATTTTAAGTGTTGTCTGTCATGTTTTATCTGAGGAAGACATTTACATACTTCAGCAATGCCAGGAACACAGGCTCCCAAATTCATATACAAAATGGAAGCATTCATTAATCACAGATTAACTAGGCAGCAATCCAGAAGACCAGCTTGCTCTAAGGGCTTGATATCAACTGAACATCTGTCAATAGGTTTCTAATATACCTGAGAACATTTTGTGTTTCTGAAAATTCCAGCAGCAGAAACGTCAAGAAGAAATTGCAATAATGAATAATTACTTGCTATTACTGCCAACGAGTTAATATACTAATGGATATCTACTTTATTCCCCCTTGTAGGATAACTGATGGTTAATGCATGTTTTTATGTGGGAGCATTACTCAAACTCCAAAACATGACATTACTCTTAAATATGAGGTTCTGGTACTTTGCTGAATAGAAATGCTGTAGAGTGGAATAAATGCTGCCCATTTATTGCAGCTCTGCAGTTCTGCTGAGAGCTGTGTTAAAAGACAATGTCTCTTCAACACTGAGTTTCTAAATTAAGATTTATACCGCAACAGATGCAGAAATGTAAGAACAGGCAACAAGAATTTATTTTTTCTATTTTCCACACAAAAAGGCTGAAAATAGATGGAACATTCACCATTGCCCACCAGGTATGTTTCATCCTGAGGAAAGGTAGCTCAGGAGAGATCTGATCATTCTCCACAAGTACCTGAAAAGAAGCTGTGGTAAGGTGGGTGCTGGTCTCTTCTCCCAAGTCCTGTCAGACAGGACGAGAGTTTGTGCATGATCTCAGGCAGGGCTGGATATGAGCTGCTCCTCAACTCTCCCCCAAGAAAAGAGCAGTGGTCAGGAAAGGGAAAACAGAGAGCCTCAGCTTCACCTTCCCATGGCACAGACTGGTGCAGAGAGGTCCTGAATTGCTGATGTCACAGGCCAGGAATGAGTGGCTCCTGCAGGGATCCCAGAGCAGCTCCTCAGAGAACCCCCAGCTGGTCCAGCACACCTGCTCTGGAGCTCAGCTTGTGCATCACACACCACCTGCTCTGCTTCAAGCCTCACAGGACAATCCAGCCCATCAAACAATGGGCAGAAACAACTTTTTTCTCCAGTAAGCAGCAAAACTTATTCTAACTGCCAGCAAAATAAACCAGCAAGCTTTTCAGCCCTGCTGAAATCACAGACAGCTCTGTAGGGGCATCCTTGTTCATCTTCAAAGCTTTTTAGAAACACTGAATAATCATATTCCCCCTGAGGGTAGGAGGGTATTGGTAGCTGCCAATTAAAGCCAGTAGAGAAACAGAGGCACAGAGAAGCTGTAGGAGAACAGCTCAGATGTTCTGAGCAGGTAAGACCTGCCCACACACTCTTCAGCCAGAGAAGGTTTTGGTCCATTTGAAGTTTTGTGGGTTTATCCTTTACTTTGCTTAGAGCCAGCACAATTGGTATCAAGCTGGGGTTCTTGCTCCTCCTGTCTCCCCAAGGTAGCTGATGGTAATGGATAGGTGAGGAGATAAAACAAAAGGCAGCATGAAGCATCAGCTCTGATTGCTGTTTTTTCAGACTCACAGATAAAGGTTGTCTGGCTGATCATCAAAGAGAAACTCAGCTGGGCCTTCTCTAGAAATGCAGTGAATCCATTGCAGCTCAAGAACAGAGAGTAAAAAGAGAAATGGGGCCTGCTGACCTCTGCAAATATCCATAAAGACACCCCATCAAACTGCTCCCTGCTGTAAAGGAATTTGTCAGATTCCTTCTCATCTTCCTCAGAGATAATTCAAAATGCACTGTAACAATTCAAAGCATATTAGTACCGAGGAAGTATATGAGAATCCTGAAATATTTCCTGGATGTAATATTTTGAAAGGTTAAAAAAAAAAGGGGAAGATAACTGAGTTCAGTTGAGGGTTCTGATAATCTGGGATCTATCATGCTCATCTGCCCTTCAGAAGGAGACAGTTGTTAATACACACATGTGAAATCTTGCCTGCCAGTTGTAAGGAAAGGATGGGAACAGGGAGAAGGGAATAAATTTTCACTGTTCTATCCTGAGTCATAGTCTTTGCACAGAAGAAAATAAAAATGTGCAAGTGGAAGCAAATTTTGCCTGCCTAAAGTACAAATTCTGCCTCTCAGCAGGAAGAAAAGAGTAAGAGCTGAGATTCACCTTCATCTGCCTTAGAGATGCTCCATCAAGGCTTCCATCACAGGCACAAACCCCTGCAAAGGAGGCAGTGAAAAGGTACCTGAGAGTGTTGGAGGGCATTTCAGACCACCTGTGCTTTGTCCTATCACCCCAAACAGACTGAAGTGTGATCACTCTTTCATGCCTTTCACTTCTCTTCAACAAGAAATAATTGTTCCTGTTGTCCAGACAAGGATTGCTACTTTCCCACTCATAACAGGGAGATCCTTCTGGATCATGGAGCTTAGATCCAGGTTTGCTTCCTCTTAGCATGGTCAGAGATAATGGTAACAATCACCAAAGGGAAGAACCCAGAAAACTTTGTCCTTATTCTAATTACAAATTTATTTTTTAAGTGCTCTTTTAAAAAGCAACAAAGAGAATGAAACACTGTAGCCTGCAGATATTTGAGAATCCATGGACTGCTTTTCATCTCCACAAGACATATTACCAAAGGAAACGAGCTCAGACTAATAAGATTTAATTAACCAGGGCTCAGACCATCAGTGAAAAATTTTCACAGGCTTGCACACTGAAAAAGTTTGAATTACTACATTAGGGTAAGTTTTTGTCAAATAATTCTATTAGATGAACAAATCACTGCATTTGAAGGTATACCACATGTTACTTTGTCCATTCCAAGACAAGCTTTTAAATTCCTCACATCCATACATCTTAATGTACTCTTGCAGGGTCTACCAAATACAAAAATCACACACTGAAAAATATAACTGAACTATGACCTAAGTCTTTAAGAAAGCATTTCTTTTTCTCACCTTTTTTCGCCCATTTGGATACCCAGTCACTGGCCAGGTAGGACACAGTCCTCAGTTTGCTTCCTACTGTGCTTGGCTCAGCATTTGTCATCTGGTCTTAAAATCAGTTAGAAAAGAAATGTACTTGAAGCTGCACAGACAGAACTGGAACAATTCCATCAAGATTTCTTAAAGCAGGAAGCTTCATGGGGTACTCTGCCTCTGTCAGATTCTGAGAAATGAAAAGCAATAAAGTGTAAAACCAGAAGAATTTAGCATAAGCTGCAATCTGTATTTTAAAATGGAGTTCACAGTAGCTGATCTTTAGATTTAATGGAAATGTTTGTATTCACTGTGTACCTCAGATGAAATTTGTGCTATTGCCTAGTTCTTGCAGAAAGTAAAGTCTGCTAAACAATGGCAACACTGCATTCATTTTTATGATTACTGCACTAATGGTGATTTTTACAGAGGTGTGGCATGAAAGGACACAATATCTGAGTATTTTCTTGAAATTTTTACTCAGTTACTACACTGGCTAAGGTCTGTGGGCTCTTTGTCTCAAGTCACAAATTGTAAAATCATGTTCTCCTGTCTGATTTCCTTATTTTTCTTCCCTGTGGGTTTATTTTTAAGGTGAAGATACATTCACATATCTCCATTTTGTATTTCATAGGCCATTTGAATGACAAACTTTTAAACAACAGAAAGCAAGATGGTCCAAGAATCTGCAAGTCAAAGTTTTGACTTGGACTTCATATAGTCCTCGTCAGACTTACAATACTCTGAGCATCTAAGGAGCCAGAAGGATGGTGTGCCAGGTTTTACAACAGGATAAAAACTAGAAAAAACAGCATTAGCAGGGATCCTCTACTTCAGTTCACTGGTGAATGAACTGTACAATCAACTGCTGTTTATTTTATTGCACTAAGGGCACAACCAAGATGAGCATGGCCATGTAGAAGCTACCTTGTACATGAACCTTGCAGAAGTCAGTCCTCACTCTCCTGAATTAGCAAAACCAGGCACAGTGGAGAAAACAGGAGAGACAGAAGCCAAACAGCAGATATATGGTTTAAAATATCCCAAGACTCCTAAACTCTGATCCATCACTTTGGCCTCTGGACTACAAGGTGCTCAAGGTATTTTTCTGTGACAATAAACCGCCATGTCCAATACCAGTACTGACATTAATCAGTAAAAACAATAAAATAAATAAAAATAAAAAAATAAAAAAAGCAAACAAGCAAAAATCCACCTCATAGAAATAAATTCTGAAAATTCACTGGGAAAATCTAGCAACCTTTTTTACCCAAGCAGCTAAAGTAAAAGCTTGATTTGGTTCAGTCTGCAGCAAGATTGCACTGTCTTTTTCTGCATAATAGTTTGCACAGCTACAATAACATAAAGTGGAATGTGAATAGACTATGCTTAGGCTAATTTACTGCTGAGAAACGTGTGCTCTGTTTGTTATGAATTCCATGCTTTCCTTTGGCTTGCCAAATGTTTTTTTTTCTCAGAGAGCTGTTTTGTTTGATACTGTGCTTTTGTTTGGTTAACAGGCTCCTCATCCTGTTTCTTTTGATAGGAGTGATAGATCTCAGTATAATTAATGGATAAATACACAGTGAAGTTTGCAGACCTGTCCCAGGGCTCCACAATGTAGAGATGCCAAAAGTTTACCACATCATTACTCTGAATGCTACCAGAATCCTAGGAACCCATTTCAGGGAAAGTAAGAAGCCAAAAACAGATTAAAAGAAGAGGGGTATGATAGATAACTGGACAGACAGAGGTTTAAGGGCTGCTCTGCAGATGGAGTGGAGGAAATTTTCTTAGTCACAACTGGTCATTATGAGCAGGTCTGCAGGGGTAAACTCCCCAGTGTTTACCTAGATTCCCTGATTTTTATTTTATTTTTATTTTTTATTTTTAAAAGGAGCTTTTCCTCTTTGCTGAGTGGAAGCTGGGAAAAAGAACCTTACAGTACAGGTGATGAGTGTGATGGGAGTAAAGTTTATGAGGCTGTACCAGACTCTGCATGTCATTTATGTCATACTATTAGAGTTCCCTCAGAGGAATCATGAAATGGAATCAATGGAAGCATTTTTCCCTAAATGTGAGATTTTATTGTGCATTTTCAGTTATCTTCCTCAGAATTTCTTTTAAAAAAGAAAATGGTGCAAAAAAGAATCCTCATGCAGTTTTCTAGGAACAAAGATTTTAATTACCAACATATTTTAGCCCTGATGGAGCAGAGCATGAAGTTGCACCAGCCATGCTATGCAGTCACCAGGTTTTTATGTTTCCTCGTGCTACTGGCACAATCTGGTTCTCCTGGTCCCTTCCTCTTTGCCTCTTCTTCATCCTGTAATTACCATTTCCTATGTACTTGGACAAATCCATTACACAAAACATCCCTCAGAACAACAGAGGACAGACCTCTACTATCTCTCAGCAATCATCTAAACAACTAGCTCTGATCACACTTGAAACTTTGAAAAGAGCATCCAAACTGAAACTTTCCTCACCATTTCATTTTACATATGTTGAATCAAGTCACTTTCCTCAAAAATACATTAACTACAGTAGCTTATTGTGTTTACTACAGGCTTTTAATTGATGCAATTTGATTTTTCATGTTGCTTTATTCTAAATCGCTGCAAGCTACAGTTTTTATTAACAGGGTTATTGGACTAAATTCAAAAGCTTATCAGGATAATATTTAAAAAATAGCTACATATTTACGATGTTTGTCCTCTCCTGAATCCCTCTGCTACATTAATGCCTTTCTTACTTGCCACAAAGTGTTTTAGACTAGCCAATAATGGCCAGCAAGAAATTTAAATATCACACAAGGTGCATTTAGGTCACTGTCCTGCCTTCTGACTAGCTTTTGGAACAATGCATTTAAACTTGGTATTCTGTAAGGTATTCTGGAAGAGTTTAGTCCATTAGGAGCACAATCTGGTCTATAGGTTACATATAGTGATATGTGTATTAATGTATACTAATCATATTCTTTCAGGCTGTGCTGACTCAGCTGACATTCTGAATCACTTGCTGAAAATAGAATGGGTTCATTTTGCACATAGATATTTTTTTATGCACACATGAGCAACTATGATGTTTTCTTTACCTTTTGTCAGACAGTAAAAAAAAAAATTAAATCATGTTTTGTGTACAGTGTTACAAATGTTACTGTACTAGTAATTATTATTGAAGTGACATATATGTTTACATTTGGACACACACACTTTAATTCACTGTTGTCTCAAAGTTTCTCCTCTGCCAGTTCACTTTTATGTTTTTTTAAATCCCAGAATAGAAACAAAGTTTGCTTTCAGTCAACAACTGAAAACACACTGGATTTTAAATTGTAGTAAGACCATACATGACCATCTTACATACACAAGTCTTCCACCTAATGCAAAACCAAAAATTTCAGACACATTACATTAAATCCATGTATCATTAGCCTCATCTACAGCACACATCAGGGCAACAACAGCTTCAAAGTTCATCAAAACACAAACTCAATTTTTCTTCATGTTAGCTCTAAATTGGTTTTCAAAAGAGCATCCCTTTCAAGATGTATGAATTTACCTCCTGTGTAAAATTATTCAGTAATTTTCTGGGTGTCCAACCTGTGGTACCTGAAAAGGGAATAGTTTTCAGATCACGGGATTAATACTGAGATCACATTACTCAAAACTTAAAAATACCAATTTGGGACTCAAGTGATAGGAAGCTTTTATTACTGGAGGCCAGCCCACAGCAGTCATCAGGAACATTTTTATTTCTTCTATAGGGATCTCTAGCTGTGATTTTTCCATTGCTGTGAGAGCAGAAGGTCAGATCAGAACTCCTTGAACAACACCTGTACTCCAGGTAAGAGGCAGCAGCAAGTGCACATTTCTGCCTTTGCAGGGGAGACAGGAAGGCAATGGATTATGACTAAAGGGTCTGAAATCGATTTCATCACCAAGCCCATATCTCTGCCTGAAGGCAGGGTCAGCTCTGCAGAAGGCATTTCTGGAATACCTGTACCAGTAGCCAATACCAGAATACCAGTATTGAATGCACTGGTTTAAACATTTCAGCTGACAACAGATCATTTCTATAATTTTACCCAACAAAAGCTATCAAGGACACAGGCCTTAATTTTTATATATTTACCAAGCTGCCTCTCAGGTTCAAAATAAGCAATTACTGAAAGCAAAGTCAAATGTCTCAGATGAAAATGTCATGCCAGGTTCACAAGCCAAATTGTGATTTTCATCGATATTAACCCCAGTAGCTATTCTGGATAAATGCTGGTTACTGAAGATCAGAATAATTTCCAGCAGCTTGGGTTATATCTCCACTTAAAAATGCAATGGCACATGCAAAAAAACAAAAAAAAAAACCCTGAAATAACTCACTCAAAGCACATGGATTTGTTTGGTTCTCAGCTTATAATCTTCTGATTAATTCTGTCCCTGTCACTGTTAATGTAATGGTAAATGTAGAACTGTATAACTATAATCTTAATTCTGTGAGCACATCTCAAAGTAATATTACCTTTTTTTCAGACATCATTTGCTTACCACAAGTTATGATGTGACCACCTGAGGTTTTACTCAGAGCACAGTACAAGAAATAACATTTCTGGTTTCCAACTTAATATGCTTGAAGGGTGGGTTGTTGAGCAGAGGGCCAGACGCTGCCTGCCTGCCCTGGTAGCAGTCTCTGCCATGCACAGCTGTCTTTCACTGCTGGACTGACAATGTGAATTTGCAGGAGCAGGCAGTGATTCCCAAAGCCCTTCTGTGGAGCAGCTTTCTGTGCCAGCAGCAGACCTGCTGCACTTACAAATGAGTGGCTTGCAATGCTATTTCAGGGCTCTGCCATATAGACACACACACACGTGAAACCAGACAAATCTTAGCATGAAAAAACATTTTCCTAGATTAAAAGGGCCACGAGTACAAACATACTTTACATATGTTACACTGTTCTGCTGTATTTTTATACATGTATATTCATTTTAGTGAGAACATTTTCCTTGTAAGGGCAATAAATACATTTGACTCACTAGACAAGTCTTTTATTCCTATAAACAATGCAATTTATAATTGATAAACAAAAATAAAAGAATGTGATGCACAGTCAGTTACAGATTATGTGAGGGTGCTATGCTTTCCCAGTTGGGAATGAACAGTAAAGCTCTCAAAGGAAGAAACAGCATATCTTTCAACAGACATTGCCCATATTGTGATAATGTGATAATGGAGATTAGTAGAAATGCAGACTGCATCTCCAGAGAATGGAAGAACTAACACATGTGCAAAATGAAAGAAGGAAATTAATTGACCAAATTTAGGTTAAATTCTCTCTATATGCATCAAGGGGAACAGTCAGCTCTCTGCTGGGATATTCTTTCTCAATGGAATGATGATTTAGAAGTGACTCAGGGTGTCCAGCACCTAAGAACTGAAAATAACAAGCACACAGTGTCATCAGCTGTGTTTCAAAACATATGGCATATTTTTATACTGACATTCTCAAAGTTTTATACTTCTGAGCAGGTTTAACCATTGAGGAACAGATGGTACCTTTTAAATTCAATATCCTCTTAAATTAAATATCCTGGGTAAACCATCAAAGTACAGAATCAAAATCTGGCTTCAAATTCATAACACCGTGAAATACAATCACCCAAAGACAACCTACATCACAAAAAGTGAGTGTGGTCTATGTCATAAAAAAGCCCCTCCACTGTTAAAGGGATGCTTCAGATTTGGTGCAGAAAATGTAACTTTTTGTCATTGTGTAGCTTTCTTTATGAGAATTTGAGCTCTGGCGGAATGATGCAGAGGCAGGACCTTTGCACAGCCCTGCTGGCACAGTGAGATGCAGAAGGGACACAGCTGAACCAGCGCATTGAAGGAGATGTGCTGGTACCTCCAGGCATCCAGGCAGGATCCTTGCTCGTTCTGCCACTGCTCTCTGCTGCCCAGAGTGTGACACAGCAGCTCCGGGATGGTTCTTTGTGCTGCCGGAGTGTCTTCTGCTTACGGAGCCTCTTTGCTGTAATTTACCATCTCTTTGCTTTAAGAGCTGCTGCTGTTGTTCATTTGCAACTGAGACCTTTAAATTAAAGCAGTCTGACCGAGATCCCCCCAAGGACTTACTTTGTGACTTCATCAGGCTTCTTTTCTTCACAAAAACTTGATCCCAGTAGAACTGGATGTCCCTCCAAGTGAAAGGGAACTGTGGCTTCACATATCTGTTCCTTAGCTTGTGCTCTCTACTTTAGGATGAAGTGGCTTCTGGGGACACTATAAATCTTGATATGCAGGTGAGAAATGTCTCTCTTGTTTTCCTCAAGAGCAGATTCATGGCTGGATTATTTTTTTTCCCAGCAGTAGTTGTGTTTTATACACTGGGATGTAATTAACTTTGCTCTGAATTTAAAAAAAAAATAAAAATAGTAATTTAAAAATAATTTTCAAAAAAAAAAATTAAAAGAGCAGAATAGTTGGTAGTTACCTCTTCTTAGTGTATCTCTGGAGACTCAAGGAACACTGGGGACAGATTCCTAAAGCAGAAATTGTCCATGTCCTCTTCAGGCTGACAGAAGCTGCTGAGACAAATCACTTTCCCCTGCTTCCACAGGACCTGAATAAATCCCAGCCCTTCCTTACACCTGCAGGATGGCTCTTGTGTTGGAATAACACCTCAAACTGATGAGCTGGGTTTCCAGAGTCCGAGTTTACCCAACACTCACAGCTTCAAACCCAGTATGATGTGCCTCCTGCACTCTTTCTCCACGGCAGGTTTGTACCAGCCATGGCAGGATTTGAATCATTGCAACCTGGGTGCCTCTGCCCACGGAGAGCTGCTGAGGAGAGAGGCTGCAGGGCAGACCTCAGAGTGCAGGAAGCACCTGAACCTTTCTCCCAGAGCAGGGACAGGCTGCAGAGGTGCTCACAAAAGATGTGCCCGGGTGAAGCACATCCCAGAGCAGCAGGTGGCTGAACTTGCTGTCTCCTTTGCAGCAGGAAAGCTGTGTGAGATCAGCGTGGCCAAGGAGGATTTGGACAGCTCACTCCCAACACACTCTGCTGGATCCACAGCCTGGGGTCACACGCCCAAACCTCACCTTTCAAGGGGATGGGGCCAGATTCTTTTCAGTAGTGCCCCGTGGCAGGAAAAGAGGTGAGGCACACAGACTGAAACACAGAAAGCTCCATCTGAATATGAGGAGAAGCTCTGTTGTTTTGAAGACAACAGAACTGGAACAGGCTGTCCAGAAAAGCTGGGGACTCTCCTTCTCTGGAGGTATTAAAAACCTGCAAGGATACAACTCTGTGAACCTGCTCTAGGTCAGGGGGGTTGGATTGATGGTCTCCAAAGGTTCATTCCAACCCAAATCACTCCATGATGATGTGGAGGTGGATGGATCTGTGAGCTCCAAAATATGTGGAATCTATCCAGAGCAGAGACTTCAGGTAGAAGGAATTAGCTCTGTTAGACAGGACAGGACAGGACAGTCATGTCCTGGAAAAGGGAGCCACCCTCAATTCTTGGACATCCTCAGGACCTGACTGGAAACAGCTATGAGCCAAGTGAACTCTGTGCTGAAATGTTATTACACAGGAGTTTGTAGGCTGAGGCACTGAGGCCTTTCCAACCTGAGGCTGTTGCTGAGCATCCTGGTTTTGTGATCAATTCTGACCAGCCTAGAGAGCCAGGCTTTCCTTCCCCTCACGGCAGAGAAACAAGGTCAGAGGTGCTTCTTGTTTCTGATCCACCTTGTATCTCATGCTCCAGTAAGTGATGAGTACTGTTACCCTATTGCCAGTGCATCAGCATGAAATCATTGCTGTGGAAAGAGGTCATTTGTTAACCTATGGCTCTTTTCTTAACCTGATTCATGTTGCTGGCAAACTATTTTTGGGCAAGCACTATTTCTGCTTCTATGACAAGTTCACCAAAAAAAAGGTGCTGTTATCAATATTTTGTTGTTTACAATACCTAATAATTAGGCAAGAGTCATTAGGAGAAGCAGTATCTTCTTACAGCAACTGATAACAGCTGGGAATAAAAAAATCAGATTTTCAGATACACTTCCTTTCTCAGATTTGCCTTCTCACTATCTATCATGTCATCAAGCCACTGAGAAAAGCATTTTTGACTCCTGGCTATCATCAAAAACAATGATGTCATATTTGTCCAGAGCCTGCTGACCAAACCAGGCTGCAAGCAATGCAAGGCTCTGAATATGCACTGTTAAATTATTCTGGGTTTCTCATGTGCAGCAGGTCTGTGTCCCACCTGAAGCATGCAGGTATCCCTCTGAAGTCAACAATCATCACCCAGCAGGGTGTGTGTGTACCTCAGCCAGTCAGAAAATGGCACTGCCACTCTGCCACTACATTTTCTACCAGTAATGTTACAAGCCTGCAGCTCTCAGTGATGCCTGAGCTGGATGTTGTTCACTGGCTTAGTTCAAGGGCTTGAACAAAGCTCACCTCTCAGTGAGGTTTATGACCCTTTCAGAAAAGCAAAGAGTCTGAAAATCAGCTGTTCCCTTGCTTACATCTCAGTTACAAATGTATTTGAGGAAGTTATTTCCATAAAATTAAACAGAAATACTGCTTGACATTGATACATTTTAATTAACATCACCATTCTCCATCTTGCACAAACCAGAATTAATATAGAATGATTTCTGTAAAATTAGGTTATGTCTATTCATTTTGAAACCCCATAACTACTCCCGAGTATCAATCAGATACATTTTAGTGTTAAGTACAACAAAAAAGTTGAGTTACACCATAGCCTCACAGATAAAGCTAATTATATGGAAAATTCATTCAACCGAGTTTGCATTGCTTGATTTGAATCTGAATTAGCAAGAATTGGCTTTGTACTTAGTTTTCTAACTCAAATGAACAAGAAATGCACACATAGATAATTTTTCTCTGAACATCTGAATCAGGGAAGTCTCTGGAGCTTGAGACTGTTGCTGTTCAATCCCCCCAGAATCTCAATGACCTCCATGAATCTCAGCACAGGCATGAGGATCCATGTGTGAACAAACAGCCACAGAAATGGGGATTTACTTCCCTTTTACTTCTCTGGATACATTTCTAATGGAATTGTCACATTTTTGTATGGATCCTAACTAAAAGTTTATGAACTTCTGAAAGCCCTGAAATTACATAGGACAGGGGAGAATGGCTTCAGACTAAAAGAGAGTTTAGATTAGATAACAGGAAAAATTTTTTTACTGTGGGGGTCGTGAGGCACAGGCTGCCCAGAGAGGTTGTGGATGCCCCATCCCTGGAAATGTTCAAGGCCAGGTTGGATGGGGTTCCGAGCAATCTGGTCTGGTGGAGATGGCCCTGCCCACAAATGGGGGACTGGAAATAAATGATCCTTGAAGTCCCTTTCAACCCAGACTGTTCCACAATTCTGATATAAAAACCAAAACAAGAAATGTTTAAGAAACCAAAACAAGATATGTTTAAGCAGACCTCAAAAAGGATGAGATGGCACTTTCATATCAGTGTTTTGATCCCTCCAGAGTTTGGATGCAGCATGTATTATATGTCAGAGAATTTAGGCTCTCAAAATCAGCAAGTTTAGCCCCTTCTCAGGCAGGAATGACTCGAGGGATAAACTCTATAGTGAAGGATATTATGCTACCCATTAAGTTGGGAAGACATCAATATGTTTACAGGGAAGAAACAAGGGATGAATATTCTCTGTACATTATAATGTGTTCCAGAAATTTTGAATCAGTGTAGTGAACATGCCCAAGAAACATCACAGGAATCACTCCAAGTGACTTCATTGAAAAAGATATAGCTTTGTGGAAATGAGGAAGTAAGGTTCCTCATGATGCATTAGAGCAAAATACAAGGAACTCATTTTAGTATCTGAGGTTACCCTTGTGAAAAAAAATAATCTCTGATAAAAAAAATTCACCAGCATGAACAAATATCCAGAAAAAGCAGACAGTAATTAATTATTCACTTAGGATACAAATGTGCTGCCCAGAATCTTGAAGGAGAACAGAGAGGCAGATTTCATGCCTGCCATCCTTTGCAACAAGAGCCCAAACAACAGGCAATAGGAATTTCAGAGGAAAACAGTGTACAGGAGTTCCAGGCAGTCGCAAAGAGCAGCTTTGAAAATGAGGAACATGGCAACATGAAAAATACCATGAAAGTGTTGAAATACAATCAGTGATAAAGCAGTATGAAGTAACACACAAAATCCAGAATTTTCATTATCTGTTGGAAAAAGTGAAGAGTAATGGAATAAAAAATACTGTCAGGAAATACATAAGATACAAATATATGAAGACAATTACACCAACTGAAAGGAAGATTGGTAAAGAATGGGGGGAAAACTAAGTTTTAAAAAATATATCCCTACAAAGCTCAACCTAGTACTTTAATGAGTTCTTCAATGCTGAAATTTCTAGAGGGCAGGAACAAATAGCTGTTTAAATATATCCCTACAAAGCTCAACCTAGTACTTTAATGAGTTCTTCAATGCTGAAATTTCTAGAGGGCAGGAACAAATAGCTGTTTTCCAATTAATTATCTACAGGAAATGCAGCTTCAATGACACTCTAGAATGATCAGAAATAATAAAGCATCCACTGCTGACAGTGTTTTCACTGAATTATTAAAAGAAACCATAAGGAGAAATTATATGCAGTAATAATGAGTAGCAATAGATTAAAAAATTATGAATTAATTCTGGCATCCTACACTTCAGAAATCAGGCCTAGTAAATACAAAACTGAAAAGGCATCTTCTCATTACAGCAGCTTTTAAAATTCTAACTGAATAAATAGGGGATGCATAACAGACAGTGACATGTATTAGTCCACTGCTAAAAAAGCTTTTAAATTCATAATGATTCAGGGAAGGTGAGGAACATGTCAGAATATACAGTCTTCACAAGAAAAAAAATCACAACAAACTAATAACTTCTGAAATTGTCCTTATATCATGGCAGGATATGAAAGAATCACTCTTATATGTTAAGACAGCACAGCTGCTTGTTTATGGAAATTGGTGTGTGAGAAAATGAAAATTAGCCTCATTTAATACCAGTATGTAAACAATGAGGAGGAATTCCCCATCCTTGATACTTTTTAACTGGACCATGAAAAAATTAATGCCTTCATTATGTCATTTTCAGAATAGGATGAACCAAGCAGATTGAGCAATTCTTGCTGGTGAGCTGCTTGCTTTAGGGGTCTGAGAATACCCTGCAGGCTCCAGGAGAGAATAAAGCAAAGTATGACTTCAGATCTAGAGTGCAGCTGTTGGC